AAAATCTTCGTACACACGTGGCTCCTCAACCAGATCTCTGTTTGATCTCGGACAGACATGCCTCCATTGAAAGTGCCTATAATAATCCGGCAAATGGTTGGCATGACCCTCCTTCTACGCATGTCTATTGCGTCAGGCATATCGTCCAGAATTTCTCGAGGGAGGTCAAGGACAAAACATTGAGGAAAGCGGTGATGAATGCGGGATACGCACTAACACAACCCACATTCAAATATTACCACAACGAGATCCGTTTGTCTAACCCAGAAGCCGGTACGTGGATCGACAATATACCGGTCGAAAAGTGGACTAGGTCATACGACAATGGCCAAAGATGGGGGCATATGATAACAAATCTTATTGAATCAATGAATGGGGTATTCAAGGGCATACGAAACCTCCCAATCACTGCCTTGGTGAAATCCACGTATTTTAGGATGGCTGCGTTATTTGCCAAAAGAGGTAAAATGTGGTATGCGGTCTTGCAATCAGGACAACTGTGGAGTGAAAGCTGTATGAAATACATTAAGGCTGAAAGTGCTAAAGCCAACACTCACATGGTTACACGGTTTGACCGCCATAGCCACAACTTCATTGTGAAAGAGACAATTGACCACAATGAAGGCCTGGCAAGACAAGAATACAGGGTCATTTTACCTTCTCAATGGTGCGATTGTGGCAGGTTTCAAGCTTTTCGTATGCCTTGCTCTCATGTCATTGCCGCTTGTGCGCATACCCATCAAGACGCGCTTCAACTGCTCTCAAACGTTTATAAATCTGAAACGTTGCTCACTGTTTACAACAACAACTTTCCTTTGGTGGCAAAATCGGACTATTGGCCTGAATACAACGGTGATATAGTTTGGCACAATGACCAAATGCGAAGGAACAAGAAGGGTCGTCCCAAAAGCAGGCGCATAACAACAGAAATGGACGATCTTGACAGGTTGGAAAGAAAGTGTGGTTTATGCCGTCAGGTCGGACACAATCGCAAAAACTGTCCGAATCGGGCGTCTGGATCGACCACATAAATTTTGTAATACAATAAATCTTTTCAATATTTGTGTTGTAAACATTATGGGTTTTCCGTTAATAAAACTGTTCACACAATTTAAGAAATTCAATATAGGAAATTACATTAGGGTTTTCGCGTACAACAATGATTAACGATAATCAATCTAGGAAATTACAACTGTTAACACAATTTCATCTGACCCATGCATCATCAGCATTACATCACTGTCTGTTTTGACTTCCTCCAACCACACATTAGGTCTTCCTGTCGCATGCGAGGTTGTTGTTCGTTTTCGCTGGATCCTTCGAATTTTTTCCCCCTCGACGATGTCTCCATCTAGCCACCGCATCAACTCCCGCTTCAGACGCTCCATGGAGTGAATGTGCCAGAATTTCATTTTCATCGCAGGTTTCGTGGCGGAGAATATAACGTAACCATCTCTGCTAAAAATCATAGGCGACGTCATTACGTAAATAAGGGAGTACAAAATAAAAATACAGTGCGAGAAAGTGTGAGAAATTTCAAAGAAACGGACGAATTATTTATAAAACAGCAAAAAACCCTAGTTTTGCCCTAGGCGCCAAGTGAGATGGCGCCTCCTCTCCTTTTTAAGGAGCATGCGCCATCTCACTTGGCTAAAAGCCAATGGAGGCGCCAAGTGAGATGGCGCCTAGGGCAAAACCCTAGGTGCATGCGCCAAATGAGATGGCTCCTCCTTTGTGGAGCCATCTCAAACATGGTTATTTGCGTAATTTTTTCCGAAACTCGGTTATTTGCGAAATATTTTTTTAATACTTGGTTATTAATAAAAAAAATTCTTCACTTTGTGCCGTTAATAGAAATGTGGATTAGATAAAGCTTAAATCACTTGGATTAAAGCTCAAAAGTTAGTGTAATCCATTAATGATGGATAGATACACAAGTTAGGAGGCCTGCAAAGCAAGATTATGCAGCCTAGCATTGAAATTGCACTTGTGTTCATCATGAAAATGACCTATAACTCAAGTGACAAAACACCAACTTCATCTCTTCGATTCTCCCTACTCAAGAATGATATTAAGGAGTTCTTGGACATTTTGGAAAGCTTGCAATGTGCTCTAAAACCCATATTTGAATTGCTTTTGAATATTCCCCTTGGAACTATATGAAAAAGTTCCATGAAGTTAGGTCAAAATCCTGACCAAATTAGGGCAAAATTTCACTGTGTTTAGTTTCATGGCCCTATGTTCTTGAAATTATAACTTGAGATCCAAGCACTTTTGGGAGAAATTGTGTAAATAAAAGTTGTAGATTTCATGGAGATCTACAACTTTAATGTTGGAAGTTTCTCTTGAATCATCTTACATCATGGTGAAAATTTGGCTCAAAGTTATGAAAAAAACATGGATTTTCAACACTTAGAAATATTTCTAAGTTTAGAAATTTTGACTTTTCAAAATGAAATCTTGACTTTTTGATTTCTTGATGAATACGTTTCATATTTTTACATGTTTTGATGAATTATGATCTTTGGCACTTGGATTTGACCAAAAAGTCAAGGTTTGACTTTTCAGTATACAATTGACTTTTGATCAGTTGACTGCAAAATTCATCTGTCAATCCAATGGACTTGCAATGTTTTGAACCATGTCATTAGTTCAAAATGGTGCAATTGGAATCTTTATATCATGCCTTAAACCAATTGACCAATTTCTAGGTTAAAAATCATAAATTGCCCTTTCCCAGTCAAAACCCTAATTTTGATCATTTTGCCCTTTTAGAGATTTGATCAAATTTCTTAAGGAGTTGTGGTCCAAACTTAATCAAATGGTTCATATGAGTTAAAAATGTTGATGTGGATAAAAAATTATGAGGTTTTACTGTAAATTGGCAATGGTTGACTTTTTCCCTAATTCAGTTGATTTTTAGGTCAACTGTTCAATTGAGTGATCAAAAGTGTGATCCAAGGCTTGAAACTTGACATGAGTAATATTGGGGATCCATAATGGTCCATGAAAGTCATATGAAGCATTGATAGTTCAAAAATACTTGTGCAAACTCAAACCCTAATTTTGGTCATCAGTGCCTAAGGAGGTGTCTTGAGTTGATCAAACCCTAGTGCAGTCTTGAGCCCTAGGAGATCTTGTAAGCAAATTCTTGACAAGTGAGAGGGCAAATTTTGGGGTACAACACCTTCCCTTTTCATAACCTACCCCCCGAACTCAAGGAAATTCTCAAAAAGGTCTTTCCTGTTCTTTTTACTCTTTCCTTCATTGGATAAAAGAAAAGTCGGTGGCGACTCTTGCTATCCGCAACATTTGCGATAAAATGCAAAACACCCAAGTCTATTCTCCTACCGTATCACAGTCCCCATCCGTTTTGTAATTCAAAAAGAATGAGACAGTACATAACGAAAGGTCGAAACAAAAAGAAACATTAGGGACGAGCACGCCCTATACCTAGGAGTCTCAACGACTCTCCATCAGAAGAACACTCGAGAAGAGCCTTGGTGTTTATAAGGAGACGAACACAAGAAGGCTCCTCGTCATCATTAAGAATAATGTTATTATCCAGATCCACGCAAATAGTTGGGGAAAATATCTTGACATAGCTTGCCAGCCTGTCATAGGCAAGCTGATCCTGAGCATCCAGCTTCTCAAGCTTCACCGCATAGAACTCGAGCTTCTCGTCGAAGTTTTTTCTCTCCCACTTCAGGGAAAACCTCTCCATCAACTGTACCACATCTTTACCATCCTTAACCTGGGTAGACTGCTCGTATACAGAATCCACGACCGTGTTGTAAGGGGTTTCACAACGTAATACCTCCCCTTGAAATTACGGACGGACTCCAAGTACGGCCGAAACAACTTTCTGAATTTCTTGAACGACACCCAGGCATGGAGACCCTCGATCGTTTTTCATTGAAGGTGGAAGATTCGGAGAAAAAAAAATAGTCAGGGTAGCCCCAATACTAAGGTACTGGAAAACGAGCTCAAACGTTCGCATGAACGCGAGCGCATTGGGGTGGAGTTGGGAGGGGGCCAGGTCCAACCACTTGAAAACCCCCGTTTGAAAGTCTGTGAACGACATCCACATCCCCACCTCCTTGAAGGTAAACTCGTACATGGGGAAGTGTGTGCCCGAATAAGTCAAACATATCCTCCTCCTTTCATTAGGAATTTGGACCGACTAAGAGGCTGCCTCTTCTTCCTCCCTCTCCTCGACCACGTTGAACGCATCGGAAAGGTCGGTGACGAACTCTGACGTGATCGTCCAGGGCTCAAGCCCCACCCGTGATAAATCAACTCTCGGCCGAGTACTCGGCCCGACACTTGAATCCTGCGTAGCGACCTCGTCGGCCGGTTGAGCCATTTAACCTAAAAAGCAGTGAGAAAACACTGAATTCGACATCATCAAATCCACCCTTCCACCGCATTTCAAGTGAAAGGGCGAGAGATATAGCGAGGAGCGCCCTACGGATGAACCCGCAACTAAAACCCTTGACACAAGGACAATTTCCCTCAGTCGGGGCTAGTTCGCCGACACACTAGTGCCCGAGGGACAATTCGCATGGAAAAGGTCCCTGACGGGATATTTACCCAGAAACTACCAAGGACCCGTAAGTGTTCTTGGATCTTTATGCAGAACCCATGAATATTCATGAGAGTTCTTGGATCTTTATCCATAACCCATGAATATTCACGAGTTTCTTGAAGAATTCAAAGGTTCACCACTAGAACTCATAGATCTTCACCCCAAATTCATCTAAAAACTCAAAGAGAATGAAAAAAATCAAGCGTTACTTACTTGTAGTAATGAAGATTGAAGAATCCTGCATCGGGAGCGATAATCCACAAGGCAGAGAAAATAGAGAGATTGGAAGTGACTCAAATGGGGTCCATCACCCCCTTTTATAACCATTGCCCATCACCTAAGGCAGCATACAGAGACGTCGCCTTTACTTAGTCTCATGGGCTACTCTTGGTAATGATTGCGCTCCAGATCTATGTCGCGTGGCACACTCACTCCCATTGGAAGTCACAAAATCTCTCACCTAGATCCACGCGTCAGAACAATATGTTTTTCTAGTGACCAGCTGCTCGATGCCAAACTTGATGGCTTGCAAAAGGGAATTTCATCGATCAGAAAAGGGATGTTGTGCTTGTCTTCACGCGGCCAATGCGGCCGCATCGGTTTATGTCGTCTGTATGTGAGCACACACTTGTCGGCGACAAGGACAATTGCCTCTTCCCCGACCAAGGTACCGCCTGCGGCATATCTCGACCACGAGCGTCGAGAGCGTCCCTGACTAGAAAAGAATGACCTTATGCTCGAGCATCCGTTCCCCGACAACTGAACCAGGTTTAAGTCATCACTCTTACCCAAGAGCAATAATTTGGGGGCTCATGTTCTGGACTGGGCCAACACTTGGCCCATTGTCGGACAGGCCTAATCCAGTGCTCTTCATGGCCCAAAGGACTACTACCTGGTAGTGATCGTTGGGGACTTTCCCACGTGCGTGCTAGGGCAACGTGGCCAACTGTCATATGACCACCACCCCACCCTCCGAGAACAACGGGTCAACTTCCCTTGTATCTCAGAGTTGTGGACCAGGGAGAGGACCACGTGCTAAACTTTATACTCATGTAAACCCTGACAGTGTACATTATTGGGCCCAACTATTCAACCCATTATGCAGACCTTGGCCCAACACTGGGGGCTATATATACCCTCTCACTTGAGAGGGTCAGGTATTCACTCTTTACCCTTTCTCGTACTTGCACTCTAATTTCTCTCATACTTACTTTGACATCAGAGTAACTTGCATGTACCCTCTTTTTTCACTTCAACAACAATTGTTCACCTCCAGTCTGTGGGTTAATGACGATCCTTCTGATCAGGTACGATCATATACCGTTTCCAACCAAGTATTTGGACTCTAGTGGAAAAAGAATTTTCACTAAAGACGAATCCAACAAATTGGTAGAAGTGGGACAACAAGAATATTTTTGAAGAGAAATTTTAACATTGTAACAATCTAACAATAACAAACATGTCGTTGGTGCAAGAGACATAGAATGAAAACTGTATACTTAAAAAGATTGGATTTTCTAAACCAAATATTAGAAATGTTGGGGTCCATATGATAATTGGGTTAAGCTCAATTATGATAGTACATACAAGAGTTTTACGTTTATGGCATAATGCGACTTACTTATAAACTCTTCAAGAAATTGGATGAGGGGATATGTGATGCTCTCACTTTTGAGATATAGACTATGTTACATGGGATAGAGTTAGTTTGGCAAGAAATAATTACAAATGTAGTGGCTGAGAGAGTGATTTTAAAATTTTGATAGAGATAATCCAGGATTCAACTCTTGCTAAATTGTTGATATTTATAAATTAATAATTTTTAAAAATAAAAATAAATTGAATATCATTTTAATTGTTAATAATATGGAGTCTCATTTCCTATACTTATTAGAGTTTCTTTAAAAAAATATTCTTTGAGACCCTCCTTTATACCAAAAAGAAAGTATGAGTTTGGTTTGTCACATTTTTTTTTTTTTTGATAATCGGTTTGTCATATTATACTTAGAGTGGAATTATAACTTATTTAATATGAGTTTGGTTTATTGGTGAGGAGAATTAGTTTTAATTAAAAATGAATTTATCAAGAATAATTTATGTTTGGATGTATATAAGTAAAAGTGATTTTTATGAATGGATGTTGTTTGAATAGTTTGAATCGAAATTAATTTTGAATGAGTATCAATTAAATTAACCTTTCAATATTATTTAAAACGCAAACCCTAATTCCCAAATTGATTTAGTACAATCACCACTCTCACTTTTCAGAACCTCACGCTCCACCATTGAGTTCGTTCGCGAGAATCTACTTCACGCTTCAGATTGTCGCCATTGTTCGCGAATTCACTTTCCAGATTTAGTTTATTTCTGAACAAGCTATTCATTCATCTTTCAGATTTCACACTAGATTACTAGTTTTGTTTCAGTGAGTTCACATTACTGTTCTGCAGCTTCTAGCATTCACCACACTGCTTCTTGTTAATGCTTTACCTTATTATCTCACTGTATGTTTGAATTATAATAGACTCAATTTTTGAATTATGCGGCCATAGGTTTCTTGAATTATACATGTTTCTAAACTTATATCTATCATGTTTATCTACTTACTCTTAAAAAGACATAAATGTCATTTTTTGACACAATCTTAGTTAGATGATAAAAAAATCAGTTTTATACTTTTGTTTGATAGGTTTTAAGTCACCACTTGCAGCGAACTACCCTTACAGAACTTCCCAGGAAAGAGACACATCATTCACATGAGTAGCAATATTGCTAATAAGAGACACATCTTTCACGTGACTCAGAATCAATCAAGCAAACAATAAACACAAACAAACAGATGTGTTCCTCACCGAATTCTTAAATCGACACATAATTGAAAGGAAGGAGAAGAGAAATAGAATCAAGCAGAACAACAAAAGAAATATTAATCATTGCTAAGTTCACCGGAGATCAGGTACCACGCCATCAATCATCGAACTTCTTTTATCCCTGTTAATGACTTTTTTTTTTTTTTTTTTTAGATTTATACTAGTTTTTTTCTCACTCACAAACTAAATCGACGAAATTCAAATGGCATGTAAGAGTTAATAGTGTTTCGGATCAATTTTACACTAGTAATACATCAAACATATATAAATGCTAGAAAGTATCAAAATTATTTTTATGCCCTTTGCCAATTAACTCAAATACCTTAATACTAGGGCATTTTTTTTTTTTGCCTGTTACACTACTTCTCTACTTTTGTCAAATTTCTTTCGTCTTATTTTTACTCATCCAAAGAGAGGATGCACGTTTTTTTTTGGTACAACATAAATATAGCTAATTATGACATACTTATAAGAAGTTGGTATTTTCAAAAAGTTTTTTTGATGTATATGAACATATAAAAAAATGAACTGATAAATAATCTTACTATGAAAGGCAAGTTCTAAAAAATTGTTGGTGTTGTTTTGGTGACATTATAAATGGCGATTTTTTGTTGAGAATTGATGATTAGCATTATCATCACTATCTTAATTGTAACTTCAGCTGATAGCATTCAACAGATTGGTTTTTTGTAATAGTTTGGAGTTTCACTTACTACTTCGTTGTATTTTTGCCTCAGAAATTTATAATAGATTCAATCTCCTGAATTATGCGGCATTAGGTTTCTTGAACTAAACATGTTTCTTGATAAATTATGCAGCCAAATGTGTCTTAAATAATTTTATTTAACTTTATTTCATGTATGCTACATTATAGCAGTTCTACTACGGATGCTCGTCACGCAAGTCAGAATCAATTAAACAGACAATAAACACAAACAAACAGATGCATTCCTCACCGAAGTTTTAAATCAACACTCATTATTTAATCCAATCCAATGGCATTTAACAGAACCTTAAAGGGGAAACCAAAGGCAGTGGGATCCAGAATTGTAGTGTTGGGGGCAACCGTGTGTGCAATAGCTCTTTTGTTCCTACTGTCCTCAGTTGTATTCACAACTGATTCTCCAAAATCCCAATACTTTAAGTTCTCTAGCAATGACAAAAAGTACCTGTATTGGGGCACACGAATTGATTGCCCTGGAAAACACTGTGGATCCTGTGAGGGTTTGGGTCACCAAGAATCTAGCCTTAGGTGTGCCCTCGAAGAAGCCGCCTATCTTCGTAGGTATAACAACTTTTAAATTCATTTTTCTTCATAGTTACTTTCCTAGGGCTTGGTTCATAAGTTTTTGGAATTGCAGAACTTTTGTTATGCCGTCCAGAATGTGTATCAATCCTATACATAATAAGAAAGGCATCCTTCATAGTTCGACTAATGCTACTTCGGAGGATCAGTAAGTTTCTTTTTTTCTTTTACAATTCAAACCATCATTATTTATGTTTTTGTGTTTAACGGACATACACAGTTAGTGTAAAACAGTTTTACACGGACAACCAACGAAAGGCCACCATTTCTCCATGTCATACCACTAATTCAAACTACCCGCTCAAAAGCGGGGTGATGTGGCAGACTAGTGACTTTTCATTGTATTGCACTAACAGTACGTATCCTTTAAATCATATGTTTTTTTTTTTGCATTGTAAATTATTTATTAGAGAAATAAGGATATGAACCGTCAGTTTAGACTAGTTCCAATGTAAACTAGTTTTACACTAATGTCCAATAAAAACAAAGTATGTGGTAGTTGTTTTTAAAAGACACGCATTTAGCTAGCCTTGGTTATCCATTACAGGTGGGCGGCAAGTTCTTGTGCCATGGACTCTTTATATGATGCAGAACTCATGTCGGAGACTATCCCTGTAATTTTTGACAATTCAAAAGAATGGTATAAGGTTCTATCGACCAGCATGAAGCTTGGAGCCAGAGGAGTCGCTCACGTGGCAGGAGTTAGTCGTGTCGAGCTTAAAGAAAACAATCAGTACTCTGATTTGTTGCTCATAAACAGAACTGCTAGCCCTCTTTCTTGGTAGGTTTCTTCTTTTTTTCCTAATTGTTCATACTTGATGCACCATTTTTTATTTGACTATTTTTAAGGTTGATGATGTCTAGAATATAGTGGGGCATATTGTTATTGGGTTCTTAAATTGTGGGTGGAAAATTTTTGTGTGCAGTGGGTGATACTTGAGAAGCGGTAAATATGATCAAGGTCTTTGGCATCACAAGGAAAAAATTTATGGTATTGAATTTCCAGTAAATCTGGCACCATGAACTTTGTGATGCTTATTGACACTTTTCTACGCACTAATGTGTTTTTGACTTCACTCCACATTGGAATGTAATGTATTAACTATCAAGTTAACCTATAGTTTCTAATTAAAAGAATTCAATTTGAACTTGCAGAGTTTTAAAAGCTGGTATGTGATAGAGAGATTTGCATAAGCTATTAAATTTAAAACTAATGGACATGCCTTACAAACTGCCATAGTGGTTCTACTATGAAAATGATTGCTCATGACAATAAATTGTTATATGCTACGAGCAGAGATTCTTCTGAATTTTGAGGTGCTAATGATCTGAATTTCGAGGTGCTAATGATTGCCTTCCAGGTTTATGGAATGCAAGGATCGAAACAACCGCAGTGCTATAATGTTACCATATTCCTTTATGCCCTCAATGGCCTCAAAAAAACTAAGAGATGCTGCAGAAAAGGTACACTTCATTCACAACCTCTTAGTTCTTAACATATACATGTAAAATCAATATAACTTTACGTTGGATTTTAAAATCTATTCCTTCAAGCAAATAGTTGTTATATTGTTAATATTTTTTGCTTTCTTGTATTGGATTTGGAAAATTACCCTCTGTTCCTTTTTACTTGTCGCATCGGCAGAAAGTTTTTGTTCCTATTTACTCTTTGTTTTCAAAGATCAATGCAACATTATTACTATTTTCTGTCAATATTACCTTTATTTGTTGCAGAGAGAGAAATAGATGAAAAGCTATGAAGCCCGGATTCGGACATAGACACGGGACACGACACGGACACGAGGACACCGCTAATGTAAAAATCATAGGACACAGACACGGTTATATATATTTTATATATTAATAAAATAATACAATTTATGAACTTAATTTATGAAGAATCTAAAATAAGAACTAAAATTTATATTTATTTAAACTTAGTACTTTCAATCAACTAAAAAAAGACTTAAATTGAGTTCTTTCAATTAAGAAAAATGATCTAAAACAAAATGATACAATTCATATCATAATCACTCCACATTGAGAAAACAGATCTTTAAGTTTGACTCATCCAAAGACAAGTGATATGTTATAGGTAATTAACATATAGCATGAGTGAAACAAAAACAAATAACATATAACATATTTAATTAACATATACCATTTATGTAATTAACATAAAACATAAACAAAAAAACAGAGACAATTTACAAATAATAACACGAGTGAAGTGTCATCGTTGACGCATGTGATTAACAACATGAAACAAAGACAAATAATAAATAAAGAAAAGGAATGAATATCAAAAGAGAAAGAGTGGAATACCGGCCGTGGCGACGATAGAATACCGGCATACGGCAAAAATGAAAACAAACAAAGAGGATGAGAACAAAAAGAGAAGATGAAAAAACATGGGATATGAGTTGTTTTTATAGTGGGAAAGTGGAATATGAAATGTAAAAAAAAAATTTAATTATGAGAATTTTAGAGGTTGGCGTGTCCGTTATTTGAAATAGTGTGTCGTATCTGTGTCCGCTGCGATTCAATTTAATTTTTTCGTTGAACACTTCAAAAACGTGTCTGATACGTGTCGTACGTGTGACATACGCGTGTCGGTGTCCTATACGTGTCCTGTGCGGGGACACGCCTTCTAATCGGAGCTTCATAGATGAAAAGAGATGATAAATTATTAAATGTAATATAGTGAAAAATTTATATCAATAGTAACTAAATTCATTGAGTGTAACTCCTTAGCTGCGGTTAACTTAGTTGGTTTATAAGGGACTGACTTGATTGCATCCCTGCTGCTAGTTTGTCATGGCCATCCATTGTCAGATCAAATGGCAGTGGGAGACACAAGTATTGTGAAAGGCAACATGCTTGCGGTCTGGATAGCTAATCTTGACCATGGTTTTGAGTTGGGGTTGCCCTTCCTAGTTTCTTGCTCGTAGCAAGTCTCTGTCTTGGCATTACTTTGTTGGAGCTTCCACCCATCATTTTGTTGCTTCCATTTTGGCCTCCTGATAATCTGATAGATATGACAGGGCATACGTGGGGAAGAGAAAAGGGGGGAGCAGGGAATAAGAGTGCACACTAGTAACTAACTTGCTGAGGTGGCCATGTGTGTAAGGTGTGATGAGAGAGGAAGTGGATCTAGAAGAATAAAATAGAGGGAACGTGTGACAGAGGGGTTAGCTTGAATTTGTTAGTTATTTTTGGGAGATCTAGGCTTTTCGAATTGTCTAGCTTATCACACTCTACTTTTCTTTTTGCACTCATACACTGTAATTCACATCCAAAATCACCTTGATTCTGTTTGTTATCATCAGTATGCAGTGATTCTCATACTTTCTATTCTGATTTCTTACTTCATTTCCTTAGATACTAAGTTGATTCCTATCAAAATAAAGATTAGAAAAGAAAAAACATGAGCATCCCAAAAGATCATCTAGGTGATCCTGGAGGCTTGCATTGGTAGTTGAGATAGAACTACCAAAAGGATAGGAACTTAAAGCATATTTGAAGAAAATTCTGAAGCACCACCACTTCTGATTGGAGACATGTCTGGTGTCCAAGACATGTTACTGC